TCATCGATCTCTTTCATCTCCCCACTTCTCGCCATATGTTACCTATTAGCGCCATCATACTTTTGAGTCATCATGCACGGTTGGGGGACGTGTGTGTCGTTTTATGATCAACCCCATTGGCCACGAAAATTTGGTGGCATTTTAGGCCGTCGAGATGTACATTTGTCAAATGAACCTCACCTTCAGCCATCCACACTTGCATGAATTCAGCGAGGGAGTTCGGTCACAGTGGATCGTCGTGTTTTGGTTGCTTTTTTCATCGGAACTACGTACATGGATGAGGTCTGGTGTGATATTGTGTCTGTGGACGCCCGTCAACTTCTGTTGGGGCGTCCGTGGCATTTTGAACGCGTTGTGGTTCACGAAGGTCGTCTTAATACTTATGGCTTTCTATTTGATGGCGTCCGCATAATTCTACATCCATCACTGCCTCGTTCTATTACTTTATCATCATTGTCTACTGTATTAATCCTTTTTTGCACGACGTTTGTCCACGAAATGCGCGTGGCTTCCGGATGATGAAGATGAGATCGGCCGGATTCGAGGAAATCCTTCTCAACCTAGGGAGGATGATGAAGACGAGATTAAGTAATCAAGATGTTCATATTAGTATCAATAATATACTAATACAATACCCGTGTACTACATGGATACTTTTTAAGAAAATTATATTCAAAATTAAATAACAATAACGACAAAAATTGTTTTAGTTTTTTAAATACTTTTTTGAAAAAATATATTCTTTTTTAAATACTTTTTTGAAAAAATATATTCTTACTTATATTTAAAACGACCCCCTTACTTACACGACTTACCATTTTATATTATAATTTTTTAATTTATATCAGATAACGACTTTGTAGTTAAGGTAGTTTAAATATTTTTTTTTGAATTAATATTAATATGTAATTTACTTTAATTATAAAGATAAATAAAATTATTTATTTATTTTGTATGTATAATATAGATTTCAAATCGAAGCAGACATGATTAATTTTATATATATTCTATATATAATTGTTGATAAATAAATAATTATTAACTTTTAAATATGTTTATAATTTAAGTTAATATATTTGTTATAATTTTAAAAGAAAGATTGAGTAAAAAAAATACTTTATAAACCACGTCTACGACATGAAATGATATTAAAACATAATTAATGCTCTTAAAAAGTACCATAAATATCCATATACTTATGGATATTGCAAGCCTAGTTAATTTTGATTGAAAATAAATTAAAATTCATCTAGCCAAACAACAAAGCTTAAAAATTTGGCACATAGGATCTCGAAGCGTGCGAGACTGCCACTTAGGCTCAGCACATTTGGGAATTATATATAGGGGGATTTGATAAAATATTTTTATTGTTCAAATCCTTGTCTTGTTGGACAAGCTAGGAATCTTGGGCTTCCAAGAGTTTTATTTAATGACTCCTCTTCTTTTGTTCTAGGCAGTTGATGATTGTAATTACGATGTTTAAATAGAAATCTCTTCTCTTATTTCTCATATGTACGCCGTGCTACATCACTATGACGTATGACTGCTGTAATATTGAACGAATTTTATATCAATTTATCGTGTTTTTTTCTCTCTGATATCTTATCTTTTATTTTCTTTATTTAGTTTTGTGGTTATTTTATTTTCATTTGTAACACTACTTAGTATATTTTATTGTAGGATATTTTGTCATTTTTTAGATTTTTATAATCTTGATGTAATTAATTTTGATTTTTTAAAACTTTTAAAAATCTTCAGTTATTATTTCAAATTTCAAAAAGTCTTAATTAAGTATTTAATCTGTTTATCACTTGAATTGTTCTAAATTTTCTAAAGATTTCAAAAACAAAAACTATCAACTATACATATATGAATCTCATGTCAAATCTCACATTCAAGCGTAAGATTTTCATTTTTTTTTCTTAAATTTTAAAATTTTAAAAAGGCTTGAATTAAAAAAAATATTAAAATATGACTTAATATTATAAAGAAACACATCCTAACTCATCCATGATTGTNTCCAATTATTTATTCAAGTTGGTACATACCGTTCTCTTTTGATTAGCACATACATACTAAGAAAACTTTGATTTTTAGGCACAATTAAAGACACCAAATTTACATGTGTAAATAAACCTAATTGAAATCAAATTTTAGTTTGGGCTCAAGTCTCTATTTACTCACCTCGTTAACTAATTGAACTGATGAATGAACTTGAGCTCATCGCGTTAAAAGAAATTAACAAATCCCGTTGGATTCAAGTTAATCAAATAGTTCAAAAAATAGCGCAAAAAAAAAATAAATAAATAAAAAAATAAAAAAATTGCAAGCCTACCGAGGCATAGCAAGATCAAGCTCGACTCGTTTATCACACAAGTCGAGTCCACGAATAGCTCGGTTCAGTTAACTGCTTCAACAGTGATCCAATAGAAACTTGTGTTTTGCAGTATGCTAAACATGCTAGTCCAAACAATTTTGACCTAGTTTTAGTGGCCTTCACGCTAAGAAGTCAAAAAAAAAAAATGACTTAATTAGACGGGTTTAAAATTCTAACTCTAACCTAAGTGGACTTCCAATCGAACATGTCTAACGAGTGCTTTTGAGTAACTAGTACGACACCCGTATATTACACGGGTGATTGTTAATTTTTTTTTTCTTAAATTTTAAAATTAATGAGAAAAAGTGGTTTAATTTAAATGCTTTTTATAAAAAATATATATTATTACATATTTTAGGATGACACTTGTTACTTGTGCGACTTACCTGTGTTATATGCTAATTTTTCTAACTCATAAAATATAAGTACATTAACTATAAATATATTACTGAGAAATAATTTTATTTTTCTAATTAATATTAATAAATGAATTTATTATTATTATAAAGATAAATATAATTTCTTTATTTTATTCATACAATGTGGATGTCAAATCGAAACTCATCAAAAGATGATTAATTTGATATATTATATATGTAAAACCGATAAGAAAGACAAAAGTTATTAACTTTTAAAATGTATTTACAATTCAATGATTATAATAATAAATGATATTAAAATACATTAATACATCTTAAATGATCATAAATAACCAACATATTTATGGTAATCCGGACCTAATTTTTTTTTGGATCGGAATTAAATTAAAATACATCCAAGCCAAATACTGAAGTATGAAATTTTGACATCTAGGATCCCGAAGCATGCGAGTCTGCCACTTAAGCTCAATACATTCGAAAATTATATATAAGTGGATAAATGTAATTGCAAAACTTGAATTTATGGATGCACAACGTTTAACTTTTTAATACATTTACATAATTTTAACAAAGTTGCATCGAAAATAATAAGCTCAAAATTTTAGAAAATAATATTTACATATAGTAAATATTTCTCATTATATACATAAAAGAAGATTCACTACAAGAACTTGATGAAATTCCAATCCAAAATTTCAACGAAAATATATTCCGATGGAATTCCAACCGCAACTTCAATGATCTGTGGGCTTGTTTAGTAGTTGGTCTTGGTTTAGGCTGGTTAGTGTTAACAGTTCTCTCATTGTTCTCGGCTCGAGGTTGTCCTCGTTTGTACTCAAACTTTGCGTGTTCTTTTTTTTTTTTTTGTGNTATCTATCTTTTGTTAAAAAAAATATATGTTTGCTTGTGCCATGAACCAGAATTTTATATACTTACATTATTTTTTATATCGTTTATATACTTGACGTAAACCAGTATCTGCAACAATTTAATCTTTTTCCTATGAAAATTTATTTACATGACATAAATCAAAGATAAATAAAATTAAAATGCAAATGATTATTTCTTTGCTAGTCATATGATCTAGAAATAAACCATGTAAATTTAATACAAAAATCCATCATATGAAACAATCTAGAAATTTATATAATGTACATTTGTTTGGGAATGATTGACGACCCCGCTATCGGAATTAAAGTGTTCATGCATCACAACAGTAATACACTTCGTTTATCTTCAGTATATTTTGTTGTTTCTACCATCGTAGTTGCAGTATATTGAGTGAATGCAAAGAAATCCACCTCACTATCGACATCAGGTATTGTCTTTTTTTTTGTTGTATCCACATACTTTCTTGTAGAAAGGTGAAACCTGCCCATCAATTGAGACACAACCCAAACAAGAATTATTAATTAAAACCATCCGTATCAAACTATCAACTAATTAACCATATAGAATTGACAAGAAAACTTAAAAACAATAGTGGCCAACCTTAAAAAGCTGCATCCAATCCCCGTCAAGCAAAACGACATTGTCATTTCCTTCCCCGCCATCCTGTGCATCCACGGCGTTACAATCCTTAGGCGTCTCAAAGAGTGACATGGAAAAACTCCTTACAGACTACCCCTTCATCAAAATAAATCAACTCAGAGCTCGACACATCTACTTTAACGCATTAGAAAAGCTCCTCCGTTCAAACCCTAAACAAATCATCAATTCTCTCGTGTCTCACGCTGTCGGAGTTGTCGCTTTCACACCTCAAGTGCATCTCGAAATTGGCCGCACGACAAAGGACGTTGCATATGGAGCCGAAAACTGTCGAAGGTTAGGCCAATGGAGAAATTTGACATCACAACTCTTTGTTGTGATATTAAGGAAAGAGGAGGCAAAAGAAATTATTGAAGTTATTCCAGATTTACATGTTTTCCAAAAGATCTGCTCATTTATTATTACAAGCTTAATTATTTATTTCAAAAAATTTGAATTAAAAACTAACCTATTTACCTAATTTAATGTGTTCATATTTTTATAAATAAGATTATATGTTTTTACTTTTACAAAAAGTTTTATTTGCAGAGTAACTTAAGTAAAATTTCTCTACAATAATCATTAGTATTTAGTTGAATACAAAATACCAATAAACAAATATTTTTCTTAAGAAGTTGGCCACATTCAAGTAGGCCCATAGTTCGCTATCAAAGCTAAAATTTTGGCCAAGACAAAAATCAAAAGAGGAAAGAGGAAAAGAATATGCCTTACTCTTCCCCGCAAGCATGCTTTCTTGAAAAAATATCCCATGAAAAAACAAAAACCAAAAGAATAACTATTATATTTTGGTAGTTAATGATGATTAATGTTACTCAGTCCATCGTTATCCCTTTACGTCCTTTCCATGTCACTCTTTTGAAACTTTCACTGGCTTTTTCTATTTTGTTCACCCATTTTTTTCCTTATTTTCCCCCTTCTGACAATTCTTTTCAAGGGCTTCAGATAAATCAAGGCCAAGAGCATGGAGTTTCTGCAAGAACCAACTTTTACTGCCTTTTGTGCTATTATCCTAACATTTATTCTCGCAAAAATTGTTTCTTTTGCGGTTTCTTGCTCTGATAGTGACAAAGACAAAGTTTCTTGTTCGATCAACGAAGGCCCAGTTGCGAAAGACTCAACTTTGGCTAAAGGGTTGAGAGTTAGAAGTGCGAAAGACAAAAGGAAGGTAAAATTCGTTGATGATGTCGTTGTAAAAAGACTTGATCGTTATGAGGGTTCTGAAAATCTTCAATTGTTGGATATTAAGTCGGCGGAAGAAATAAATTTTGATGGAAAACTTGGGGAAGGGGTTGAGCAATTCGGAGAAAATGATGTAAATCAAGAATTAATTGAGAAAGCGATCAACGAAAAATGTTTTGACGGTGAGGCCCAAGAGAAAGGGTCTGAAAAAGTGGAATTGCAAATTGAGGATGAACTTACTGGTGACAATGGGGATGGGGCTTTTAGTGAAAATCACAAGAGTTCAGGGATGAGTGTTGAAAATGAGGCAAAAGTGAGAGTGGAGAGTGTGGATGATGATGTAGATGATGATTGGGAGGGAATAGAGAGAAGTGAGCTGGAGAAAGTTTTTGCAGAGGCAGTTAATTACTTGGAGTATGGAGGGAAAGGGAAGGATAAAGATGGTGAGAATAGTAAGTTGGCTAAATTGAGTAGTGATGTGCAAATGGAGTTTTATGGGCTTCATAAGGTTGCGGTTGAGGGGCCTTGCCACGAGCCTCAGCCGATGGCTCTCAAATTGGCTGCTCGTGCCAAATGGTATATTTTTATTTTTATTTTTGCTTATATTGGTCCACATTTGTTGTGATTGATTTTTGCTATAGCCTATCTGTGTTTCCGTTTTTTCGGTTTTGTTTTGTTATGTTATCTGCTAAAAACTCAAATGTGTTATATATAATTGAGGATTAGTTGTTGTGTAGGACAGTAGGAGATAGAGTTGGGTTTACTAATTGAGAATTTTGGTTACATAAGGTGTAGAAGTTCTTACATATTTATAGATCACTCTTATCCTACTTTCGGATTTTGATTATGCTAAGGAGAAACCTGAAGCAACATTTTTTGGGAATATAGAAAACTATATGTATTATATTTTCCAAGCTAGCTACTAGTTGAGAATCATTTTCTTGAAATTTTAGCAATTGCAAGTACTCTTTTATATTTTGTCCTGCCACTGTAAATTATAAGGCACTCTATATTGTAGTCTCTGATTGTTGTGTATGGACATTGGCTCCCGGGTTTCTTTTACGTTTTAAATCATTAAACTCGAAAACAATATTTGAAAAAAGGTGCTATTTGTGAGTGACGGTGGGCCCATTAATTCCATTGTGTAAGGAATGCATGGCAAAAGCTTGGAAGCATGAGCCAGGACATGGCCATGGAGAAGTACATTGAACTCCTATGCGAAAATATACCTGATTGGGTAAATGATTATTCGATGGTAAGCTCGTCTTTTCTCTTTCTTTTTCTTTTTCGCTTTATTTTCACAAATATATGAACTAATTTTTATGATAACCATATGCAGGGTTTTTCTAAGTTGGAAAGTATAGACAAAATACCTGATCCAGAGTCAGAAAGGTGTTTGATTGGTTTTATTGCCCATCTTTTACATTATAATCTACATTTCGAAACTATTTTCAGAAACAATCTAAAGCCTTTACTTCTGGTGATTTCATTCGTCTGCAGGAAATCGGAACTTGGTCATATTCAAGTTGGTGATTCCAGCAAGAAGGTAAATTACAAGTTAGGCTGTTCCACATTACATCAAAACATGTGGAAATTTTTATGAGTTATTGTCTAAGTTATTGTTGAAGCTGCAACAATTTTTTTTTTCCATGCTTTCGGCTTATGAGAATGGTGATATTTCAATAAGTTACAGTTTGCGAAAAGACTGACTGTGTAGACTTTTGACAAATAACTAAAGCTGATGTTTTATAAAATTATCATTTTAAAGATTCTACATGAACAGATAATTTAGAACTGTAGAGGTCCTGTGTTAATTAACTCTAGTTTAATCGAACTATAGTTATATACATATATAATTTTTATTCGTGCAGTTAAAAGACGAAGATTATTATTGAAAAAAAGTGCTCTTGTNCTTTTAAATTGTAATTAAATAATAAAATTTATATAATAAAATTATAATATATATAAAATTTCATATAAATATAAATATGTTATTGTATTTCTGTACATACTTATTGTATCATGTCTTGTATCCATAATAATATTCATATCATATGTCTGTGCTTCATAGAGAACGACTGATAAACAATATGAAGATATGATGACATATAACAATCAAATTCTTAAATTAAATAAAAACAAAGTCCGAATGGTGGGTGCCATTTTATACTTGAAAATCTTGATTCTTTAAGATCTTTGAAAACCAACCGTGACTTGATATTCACAGTTGTTTTCTATTCAAACGGCTTCATCCTCACCTTACTTGATGCTAATTATGATCTGAATCACAAAATAATTATGCCAATTCATTAATAAAGGTAATTCTACACAGATTATCCCAAGCCCAACCTCAATCCCGTCTAATATAAGAGACTAACGTTAAGAACTGGTATCAAATATATTGTCTGAAAGTTCACTGGCATAATTATAAATATAAAAAATAAAAATTGGAGCCTGCTAGTAAACATTTTTAAAATCGAGAAATAAAAAGAAAACAAGAAGCAGAATAACATATATCCATGTTTAGTTTTTTTTTTTTTTATTAAAACAAAAAAAAAGGGAGAGAGAACAATTAAGGAACAAAACATTTTGCTGATAATATTAATTAATTTAGTTTGGATCAATTTTTTTATCCCAACAATAAAAAATATCCAATAAGACAGAGATATAGCACGAACTTTTCCTAACTAAAGAAAATGTGTGCTATCAAACAAAAGTAATTGATATGATTTACCTCGGGAAAAATCATGAGACTTATATTCAAATAAATTAGGTCTACACATGCTCCAGCAGAGATTATCAAACTATTCTTTTGTTACGGCTGTTTAGGCATTTAAACTAAATTAGGAAGTTGCATTCACGTGATTATTAATTTTTTTATTTAAAATTTATATTTTTATCTAATTTGTACTTAAAATTCAAAACTAGTTTTACTCCGTACATTTGCACGAAAAGCGATATAATAGAATAGAAAGTAACTAAAAATATAGAAGAAAAGAAAAGGCATAACTTAAAAAAAAAATAATTTAAAAAAAGTAAATCTAAATATTATTAAACAATTCTTTATATACAACGTTCGTGATTTTTCTATCGTCAGAATCCCCATCACAACAAATTATTATCGTTAAACTTCTTCGACTCGTAACTCTGGGATTTGATTTTTCAAAATATTTGATGTATCTTTGTAATATCTAATTTTTTATTTTTTTTATTGTTGTATGACTCCCAATAGAAAAGAAAGATATTTGTAGTCATTCTTAATTAGTTGTGAAATATTTATTTATATAATACCAAAAAGTATATAGTATCAAAATAAAACAAAAATATTTTGTATTTTATGATATAAAAAGACGTTACAGAAATGTGCGTCATCCAAAATAGGACTTGTCAAAATAAATTGTGTAACTGAAAGTTTAATATTATTATTAAGTTAGATATATCTTTATTAAATGAACACCTATTTTTATTAAATGAACTCATATTATTATTAATTGTTGGCTGAATAAAATTTATTAAAGATTGTCAGTAATTATATATATATAGATTATTCATTACTTTAATAAAAGAGGAAACATATATAATAAATTATATAAATAAATTGATGCTGAAATATGATCGTTAATGTTATTAATTAAAAGTTATTGCTGAAATATAATCTATCATTTGTTAACTAATGTTGTCTTCATCATTGTTTGCAATTATGATCATTGTTTTCGATATTTTTATTGATGTAATTTTTTGATATCTTCTTGTGTTGTCACTGTTGTTTGTAACTATAATTAGACTCACTTGTTAATCAATGTTAATCAATGTCGTTTGGATGTTTTAGCTTATTTTTATCTTTGATATATTTGTGTGAATGATTTAGGCTAAAAATAATCATGCATAATACACAAATGTAAAATTTTACTTGTAAAAAAATATATATTTTATTAACAAAAATATTTTATTATTTTAAATTCATTAAGAAAAAAGCTTATGAATAATAATATTTAAGTTTATCTTTAATAATACACATGGTATAAAGGTATTTTTATGCTAATATATATTGAATATATCTTAATTCAAAGCTAATTAACGTTGTTTGGATATTTTCTCTTGCTATATTTTTCAATGTTTGCGTTGTTACAGTGGGAGAATATTTTTTTTTACTTAATTTTGGTCAATAACATATAAAACCTTAAAACTGAGGTATGCTTACAAGTTCAATCTTAATACTTTTATATATTTTTTTTCATAGATTGAATGATATATAACTAGCGCATAGCCCGTGCGATGCACGGGATGATATATTTTCCTGAAATGTTTAACGTGTGAAATATTAAAAATAATATAATTTATATATATGTAATAAAAATAAATGGATTGCAAAGAAGAAAAAAAAATATAAATTATTGAACACTTTCTTTGTGAAGTAACATTTGTGAAGGTTTGGTATATTTGATTATGAATAGAAAAGTATGAAATACTACCTGCGGACCGTAACGACCGTTGAGATAGATGAGAAGATTTACTTAGAATATATAGAATAAATATTGAGATAATGATTTACCTTTTACTTAGTATAGACAAAATAAATATTGACATGATGTGGGAAAATTATGACATAAATTCGTTTAGAAAATATTCAAAAATTAGGTTTATTTTTTATTTTTTAAACCCTTACAGTAATTCGTACGCTCCTTTTCATACGCTTAGTTTATCAATTTTACACATACAAATAAAAATTAATGCAACTCGAAATATTATATAATAAATAAAATGAGATTTTTATCTAACATTTAGTATATTGCCGGAAAATTTTTTATAAATCTTATTCTCTTTTTATGCACATAAATATTAAAGAATGAGTAAAAAAAATATCTAAATATGTTTAAAAGTATCTAATATTATATGTGTTAACAGTGTTACAACCAAAAGACATTAAGAATACGCAAACTATTATATAACATATGTGAAAGTATTAAAATATTTTATATTATTATTGAAAAATGTGAAATTACCTCAATTTTGTCTAGACTATTTTATAAGAAAAATATATATACTTAAAGTTAGCACACACACATATATATATCCTTAAAATTTGCCCAACTAACATGTTTAAAAGTATATAAAATTTTATATATAAAACACGTTTAAAGTTTACATATTTTACAAAAATTAGACTGCTCTCAGTTTATATAAAATTTGTTACTCTCATATTCGGATAACGTATTATTCATTTAATGAAAGCACCCTACGATACAAATTTATAAATATTAATTAAAATAATTTTCTAAATTATATAAAATTGAAATAACAAAGGTAAATATTACCTGTTCATCGTGAAAATGTGTTACAGCTCCGTTCGTGATGGGTTTCAATAATGCGGACGCAAAAAAGGTTTGTTATAAATATTAATTAAAATAATTTTCTAAATTATATAAAATTGAAATAACAAAGGTAAATATTACCTGTTCATCGCGCTCTCCCGTTCGTGATGGGTTTGAATAATGCGGACTGCTCGTGATGGGTTTCAATAATGCGGACTGCTCTCAGAACCAAAAAAGGTTTGTTATAAACATTAATTAAAATAATTTTCTAAATTATATAAAATTGAAATAACAAAGGTAAATATTACCTGTTCATCATGAAAATGCGTTACAACTCTCCCGTTCGTGATGAGTTTCAATAATGCGGACTGCTCTCTCCCGTTCATGATGAGTTTCAATAATAATGCGGACTGCTCTCAGACGCAAAAAAAGTTTGTTATAAATATTAATTAAAATAATTTTCTAAATTATATAAAATTGAAATAACAAAGGTAAATATTACCTGTTCATTATGAAAATGCGTTATAGCTCCCCCGTTCGTGATGAGTTTCGGACTGCTCTCAGACGCAAAAAAATGTTTGTTTCTTTTGTTAACGTAAGTCTGGAAGCATTATATATCAAGTGTACCCCAGCCTGGAAGCATTATATTGCATATGCGATGAAAAATTATTCTCTGTATTTTTTTTCTCTAAACTCGTGAATGATGAGTTGTAATGGTGGTAGTGAATATCCTTTTATACAATTTTTTATTAACAAAAGTGATAAGATAATTATGGATTGTATTTGGATAGATATTAAATTCCATGATTTTTGGGATGCAACAACAAAATATGCAATCACATGTATATATCTTATCACGTAAAGGTATATCCATCCCTAAAAAAAGGGAAATATATAATGCCTTAATTGACGGAATTTGTGTATTTTCGTAACAGATTTGCTTAATTAATGGGATCTGATACTTAATTAACGGGAATACCAATTACAAAATCCTATTCACGATTTTTTTTTTCAAAATTTGATTGAGATTACATAAATAGAAAGTCAAAAGTCAACTCAATTTATTTTAAGTTTCTAAAAATGATTTTTACATCAGCCTTTTTAGATATATATAGATAGAAAAAAAAAATTGAAAAATACTAGTGAACAATAAAATGATTGAAGATACTTAATATATATATATAACAAAATGTAAACAACCAATGTGTTTGTCGAACATTATTACATATGCACTATTTGTTTTATATGAAAAGTCAAGACTATTTTAAACATATAAAAAGGAATTCAATGAATTATAAGTTAATAGTTCTTTTGTGTAATATTTTTATCTTGACATTATAGCGCGCATTGATTCAAACAATAACTTTAGATCTTATATGAGCTTATTGGCGAAAGGGATGATGCA